CTTAAGACACAGTCTTAACAAACTGACTCTGTTTATGCAACTGGCCGCTGGATTAGTACAAAGTCCTGCTACCAGAGCTTTGAAGGATCACTGCACCAAATGCATCTGAATTATGTTATTATTCTATGACTCTATTACTAATTATCCTCCTGGCTGATCATTTCAAATTAAAGATATTTCATTCTAATATAATCAAACTCATTTAAACTAAGGACTTTTAACATTTTCTGCCTCTCTCTAAACGATATATTTAATCCATAATATGTTTTTTCTTTTATTTTTTCAACTTGCAAATAAGCCTTAATATATGTTTATAATTATAATTATATACGCTTGCTCTAATACGAACTGCATGCAACCATTAATAGGGTAAGAAAATAATTTTCTCAGAACTTCCACTGTTAACCACTAGATGGAACACTTGGAACGTTTTTATTCACATTCCAGCAGATAGACACATTTTATTTCCGCTGTTTAATAGTACTCTCGTTCTTCCGCTAGATGACGCTATTCACCCTCAAAATAATATTGGCGCCTCAAGTCACCGCTTTTCTTGTTATAGTGAAAATATAATATGCATGTAAATTATCAATCACAATAATAACAAAAACACCGCGTCGCCTGTGAGTTTCACAGTAAATGTTTCCTCAAATTGTTACATTTTTAAACGGTCACATTTATGATTAGAATAAAGTCTTGATAACATTGATATCTCCACATTAAAATATTTAGATATATTTAGTTATTTCGTATCATCCTTATGTAATTTACCACAGGCTCAGTTTCGGTTTTAGTTCAGTTTGTTGAGAAAACCGACTCGATTTAACCACATCCGGGAGTTTCCTCTCATGGAAAGCGATAGAAAGGCTGTAGAAAATAAAGCGTAGAGACCTAGAGGTTGTCTCTAATTATTCAAGTACGATATCCTGTTATCCTGTTTTAACTCTTCACGGTTTATCTTCAATTGAACGACCATTAAAATACCTTACTGTCGTTATTCGTGTATAAAATATTGTCAAGACGGCGACGCGGTAGACGTCACGTCACGTGATACCTGTTACTTTTCTCAACGCTAGTCAGGATGGACCAATCACGGTTAATTGTGTTGGCTAATTGAGGATTTAAAAAAAGAATAATTTTAATAAACACTGTTGACGCAGATTGTGATTTAAATTTCAAATATGAATCTCTGTCAGTTTTAGATTTAAAAATATACAGTTTTTCAATAAACAAATATTTTCAATAACTAAAAACCGTCGTGGGATTTGAACGCGGCTCAGGTTTCTGAGCCGTAAGGCTCCCCCTGTAGGAAAAACCCCGTGCATCTCCAAGGAAACAGTTACAGGCCGATAACATTTGCTGTCCAATGAGAATGTACCTCTCTCTCCAATACACACAAGGCATTTTGGGAAACGAGTTTGAGAAATCCGGATTCTGAACGAGAGCTACGCATTCTGAGCGGCGCAGCGCGGGGTTCCAGCGCGGATTTACGGCGATTGCGCGGCGATCTGTTTCTTGTGATTATTTCCATAGAGGAGCATGAGGAACCCTGCGAGATTCAGGCAGTAGATCAAACCAGCCAGATCACACATCAGCTCATCCACAAACGAGCATGGATCGGAGGAAAAGAGAGCTCGTGGGGAGCGAAGACGCGTTTATATGAAGGAGGAAATGAATCGTTTCGGACAACAGAAGGGAAAGTTAAACGGCCAAATCAAGCAAGAGAAGATCATCGGTCCATCCAAAGGTCTCCCTGTGCTTCACAAGTAAGATCACTTTTCTAAACGCAGATTAAATAGATCATAAAACACCTCATATATCAAGCTGTAGGTATTTTGATGTAGCCTATATGTATTTCCATGCGCTATGTTTTGGCGGTTTCTGTTTCTTTAATTGCTCGAGCGACAGTGGCATCAAATGTTACATTGTATCGTTTCTTTCTTTTCAACTTCCTTGGCGAAGTGATACAATGTAACACTCTGCCACTGAAAGAACTGCTCGTTCTGAACTCGAACGCTGGTTTCGTAATAGTTTAACCGCTGGTTTGGTCATGGGTTAAGTGCTGGTTTAGACTCTGGTTTATTGGCGCTGGTTTATTGATGCTTCTAAACTAGGAAGTGAATTCTGAGATGTGGAAATTTCCTTCAGAAGCTGAAATTTGGTATTTTAATCAGTGCTGTGTAAAACATCTAAATGTTGAGCTGAATTGAGTGTGTGTGTGATGAGTCTGTTATATGAATCGCTTTAAAGATGCTCATGTTTATGAATAAAATAACCATACTGATCAATCATCGTCAATTCCTCATTCAGACTGAATATCTTGCTCTCTGTAGTTCTCAGTTCTGTTTTTTTTTTAATCAGATCATGTTCAATTTTCATTTGTAAGAATAATGAAGCATAGTTTTAGTAGACTGTCTGTATGTGTATTCAGCAATCTGTCTGTCTCTCATGGGTCAGTTGGCTCTGAATATACAGTGTAACAGGTGTTACTGTGTGTGTGTTTGTGTGTGTGTGTGTGTATGTGTGTACCTGTTTTTCTATTCTGGTGGGGACTAGTTAATTAGCTAACTTAGGTAGGAAATGCTCAAATAATGTTTTAGAACTCTAAAATAAAAACAATCTCTTAGGGGCACAGAGTTTGAGTATCAGCTCAGTAGAAGTCTTTTGAGCTCATTGAGACTCATTAGGAGGAAGGTGTGTGTGTTTCAACAGTAGTGACGCATTTTCTCCTGAATCTGCTGTCATCAGTGTCACATGCCTTAAATATTGTATGCATGTTTTGTCATTGTTAACACGGTCCATAATCGAGTCTGTTGTGGTTTCAGTAGTTTCACACATCGACTCTCTCACACCACAAGAATCTGTAACTGTGTTGTATGCGTGCGTAAGATCTTGTTAGACTGGTTTTATGAGTTAAGTTATTGCGAAAGTGCAATAAAATAATTTCCATAGAACTTCCTGTGTATGACTTACACAAAAAAACGTACTGAACTTACCTAATTAACCAACAAACTCTCTGAACACATATTTGACCTACTGCTCAAATTCACCTTGATGATGTTGCTATGTCATTGATTACAGCCCCAGTTTCTGAAGTTTGCATTAAGAATATTTAATAATGCAACTAAGTAATGAATGAGTAACAATGACAGGAAGGCTTCTCGCTTAAAAATGTTTTCTGCATACTGTACATAACAGTGCAGTTAGCATAATTTTTGTCTTCTCATTTAATAATGCACTAATCTGGCATATTATAGCCTTTTCTTCAGTGTCTCTCATTATATAGAAGAAATGAGTAGCTTTACGATGTACAATCACACAAGACACACAACTGATGTTCACATCCAAATATGTTCACCACAGCTCATTAAACCTTCATTTATTCATTCATTTTCTATTCATTAGGTCTTTTTCCAAGACATTTTGAATGGAAATTCATGTTAAATGTCAAAACATATTGTTATAATTCAGAAATAGTTTATATTTATTAAATACTAATTTATTAGATATTTCTTCTTATGATTTTGAGATGAAATATGACCCAGGCGTGCTCTCGACTGGCTTTGTGAATTTCACCCACCTATAGTCTCTAGATTATTAGTGTATATTTGTGCATGAGAAAAACGAGAGAATCCGAGTCCTGTAGCAGAGGCTGAGCGTCGAAGCTGCGCATGCGCGCTGCTGACTCGCCGTAATCCTCGCGCATCTGCGCGTCCTGGAGAGAAACGGGCTGAATTAAGAAGCGAATCAAATAAATAACCGCAGCATATGCATGCACATCAAACTGCGCTTTAGACACACGCATGCTGTCATCATGAGTCCCGTGAGGAGATGCATGAAAACACCGCTGCAGTTTGGTTGTTGTGTGTGTTTATGCGGTGCGCGGCAGCATCATCATCATCATCATCATCATCTTCCGCTCCAGCCGAATCATAAGTGACCGAACCGGCAAACGGAACCGAGCGAAACCGCTCCGCGCATCTGGACGGCAGCGTTTCAGCCGCAGGGATCTGTCTGTGTCTGCATCATCCATCCCGATGCTTTTGACGCTCGACCGCAGCTGAGACCCACATCGGACCGGCGGAACCGGAGCACTCATGTCCTCACCGGGCCCGAGACCACTGCACCTCACCCGAGCCTCTCTGCGCCGTTAAATATTCATAGTCACGATCTGAGTGTCAAACTTGATACTCCGGTGCCTAGAGAGACAGATGAGAACCTTCACACCCGTCGCTGTCACGTTATGAACATCTGCATGAGATTTAGATGAGACTCAGATGAGATGCTCAGCTGGATCTGTACGAGCAGGACGAGATTCACTGCAGCACCTGCAGTCTGACCCGCTGAGGGCCTCCACTGGGTCAGAAACCCTCTCTGTGTCATTGGAGTCCACTGATGCTGGAGACACACATGCATGCATACATGTATGCGCAGTCACATACGCACTGATACTTATAAAGGGGTTTGCACACATATGCATTGCATGCATAGTCATGTTATGTCGTTTTTATATCTGACTGATTAGTTTTTCAGCGCTTACTAGGTATGCACAGAATATTGGTGGCTAAACTGGTATCGACAGATGTTACCATGATGTTTAAATTATTACTTGTGTTTTTTAATTATTATTTTTAAATATGAGATCAGAATTAGATGCTAAATTTTTTGTGCCATGCTATAAAGTTATCCATCTTTTTTCAGAACGTTAAAATAGTTTTAGTGCCTGATCGTAAATATAAAACGTTAAGCATTTTTTAAGCATGCAAACCCATATAGAATCATTATATCAGTCATATTTGCCATAAAATAATAGTGGTTATTTGTATCAGCAAAAATACCTTACAATTTTTTAATTTAATTAAAAAAAAATGTATTTAAAAATCTTTTTTACAATTTTAATTTAGCCTGTTTATAATGTTTCTACTAGTTAAAACATCCTGAATTGTCATTCGAAGTCAGTTTTTTAACAGGTTGTACTATACCGTGTAGAAATTGTTTTTAAAATTGCTCTTCGCATGCATCTCTGATTAATTGCACGCACACATACATGCACTCATTCGCATGCGTAGATGCACACGGATTGATATGCTTGTTCTCTGGACGCTGATGTTTGTTTGCGATGAAAGGAATATTTGCTTCTGCAGGCTGGATGAAATGTGACGCATCGTAATCCCGGTGACAGCTGCGGAAAGATGAGCCACAGACAAGACAGAAAGAGAGAGAGACAGGCAGTGAACATGATTAGAAGGACTGCGCCGTGACTCAACCAGACGCATAAAAAACAAGACGGGAATGGAGACTGGAAACTTTCTCGCTGCGTCAAACTTCCTCTTTTAAAGCCCTAAACGGAGTGTTTTTGTCTCTAGTGCTTCAGTAATGTGTTGTACCGCCATCCCCGAAGTGTCGTCCTTCCTCTCAGGCGAGGTTACGGCAGGTTAACCGCCACCTGAGGCTTAGAGAGACTGAAGGGCCCGCGGCCCTCGCAGACCTTTGGGGAAAACGGCACCCGTGGATCATTTATAGACTCGCTTGTGTGCATGAGTGCTGTCAATCACAGCCACTTCCTGTCTGTCACTTCCTGATGTTGATCTCTGGCAGACTAGAGGAGATGTCTGACCCTCCGAACTGAGCTTGAGAACCGTAGACCTATGCGTTTGAGTGTATTTATGTGCATGAAAGACAAACAGAAGGACGCAGCGTGTGTGTTTCTAAGTTGCTCGTGGCAATGGGGAGTTCTGCGTCGTCTCTGACCACGGACAGAGAATCAGATCACGGGTTCAGCACGGCTCCGTTCCCGCCGGCCGCTCCGATGGGCTGGCTCAGGACTAGCCACAGCAGTCCGGTGTGGGGAACCACTTTCATCACACGCCAGCAGCAGCAGCAGCCTATCCCACATAGAGAGCGCAGGTAAACACGTGCATGCGCCAGCATCGCCTCATCAGGGGATTTAAGGTCAACATGATGTCAGATTGACTATTTACACGCTCAAACAAAAGTTTAGGCCTAAATTTAAGATTTATGCATTTGAAGTGCATGCACTTGGATAACACAGTTTTAATATAACTAATAAACCTAGTGTGATAAATATTTGTCAGTCATGCATCAGTGAAACTGATATAGTGGCATAGTTTGATTTTATTTCAATCAAAATACATTCATTCAAATTGAATTGTGAAAACAATTAACATTTATTCAGTTAAAAAGTTTGAACATGGAACAAGCAATATTCAGTTAGTTAAACAAATTGGACTTATTAATGATAAATATATAAAGTTGGTTATTGTGTATTTTAAAGCACATTTAGTTTATCAGTGCTATTACAGAAATCTGACCTGTCTGTTTTATATATGCATCACATTAAGTTTATTAGTTTGTTAAAACTGTAGTCCAAATGCATGGAAATGTAATTCAATGACATAAATCTTAAATTTAGGCCTAAATATATTTTGAGTGCACGTTCCTGGTGGTTTTGTGAGCGTTTCATCTGTGCATGTTATTCTGAAGGAAATGTTCACCCACCGTTCAATAATTTCTTGATAAATAAGATCAAATTCCATCCTAGATTTCATTTGGAAATGTGTAAAATGAGTTGAGAATGCAATTTCGAGTTTAATCAGAAGTTCGTTTTTTTTTACTCTGGGTTGTTGGTTCATTTTTAACTACCATTCAAAAGGTTTTTTTTTTTTTTGGAAAGAAATGAATACTTTTATTCTGCAAGGACTAATTAAATTGATCAAAAGTGACGGTAGGGGCATTTATAATGTTACAAAAGATTTCTATTTCAAGAAGTATCACAGATTCCACACAAATATGAAGAAGCACGGCTGTTTTCAACATTGATAATGATCAGAAATGTTTCCTGAGCAGTAAATCAGCATATTAGAATGATTTCTGAAGATCATGTGACACTGAAGACTGGAGTAATGATGCTGAAAATTCAGGTTTGATCACAGGAATAAATTATATATTACATTATAAAACAGCTATTTTAAATTGTAATAATATTTCACAATTTTACTGTATTTTTGATCAAATAAATGTAGCCTTGGTGAGCATAAGACACTCATTTTAAAAACATTACAAATCAAACACTAGTGTATGTAGTGCAGTAGGATCATGTTTAATGGCGTGTGTGTCAATACAGTGTATAGCTGAAACATCTTGGACAGATTCTGTGTGTGTGTGTGTGATAAGCAGATGGTCTGGTTTTAGCAGATGGATCTGCAGCCACTCCGACTGAAGGCATCTTTTTACTAGAGGATTTTCCCTTTAACGCTGTTTGCCAGGGGCACCCCGTGAACCCATGAGGTTTCGTGTGTGTGTGTGCATGTTGATAACACGCATCTTTGGCGTTCTTCTCTGTTTCACAGATGTTAATCATGTTTGCGTTACATGTTGAGGGAGGTGTGGTGGAGCTGAATCACCAGCATGTACGCTGATGTTCATTTAAAGCGATAGTTCATTCAAAAAGGAAAATTTGGTCATCATTTTCTCACCCAAATCTGTGAGGCTTTTATTTTCTTGGATCACAATAGCAAATGTTCAGTAGATTGTTCACACTGCTCTTTTGCATGCAATTAAAGTGAATGGGAAGAAGTATTGCTGTGCATCAAAAATGGCAATTTGCTAAATTTGTAATGAAAGAAAGTGCCTCAAGACAAAGTTTCTTATCATCCAATCATCAAACATCATTGCTTCTTGATGTCTTGTCATTGCCATCTTTGAGTCGTCTGTGTGTGTGTGTGTGTGTGTGTGGAACTTATTTATACAAATACACATATATATATATATATATATATTTATATACTGTGTCCAGCCTCATTGACTGTCTTTGTATGTCAAAAAGAAGGCCCTAAAATGCTTTTGGGAGTACATAAGTGTGATTAAATTATGACAGAAGTTAAATTTTTGCCTAAGCTATGCTGGTACATTGAAATCAGTCAATCACAATTGAAGTCATTTGCATAAAGAAGTATTCACTGCGCAGTAGTGAAATGACCTGTTTAATGTTAAGGCTCAGCAAGAGGGTGGAAAACGCTCATAAAGTATAAAATTACCACAAGAAACCTTGGCTGTGATTGTAAGTGAACCTAAGGGACAGAAATTAAAAAAGCTAGTGTACAATATTTAACCGAGTTAACCGATCCATCCGAGCATACGATGTAAAGAAAACAGCGGTTCAGCTGTCAGGCTTGTAGAAATGTCCGTTTTTTTCCCACAGCACCATCTGCTGTACGCGGCTGTTCATTTACAAAAGTTCAGCTGTCACCGACCTTTTTAACAACTGACACGCCACAGACAGACTCAACGGGGCAGCCGCGCTCAAACAACTCTCCGCTGGAGTCACATGGTGCAGGACGAGGCGCGTATGAATTATTCTTACTGCTAAAACAATTCCGTCATATTATTTTTATAAGGACTGAGCTGTGCAAGAACTCCACATGTCCTTGTGTTATTTTTTTAAAGGGGTCATATGATGCTGCTAAAAAGAACATTATTTTGTGTATTTGGTGTAATGAAATGTGTTTATGCGGTTTAAAGTAAAAAAAAAAACATTATTTTCCACATACTGTACATTATTGTTTCTCCTCTATGCCCCGCCTTCTGAAACGCGTCGATTTTTACAAAACTAATCGGTCTGAAAAGCGAGGTGTGCTCTGATTAGCCAGCTATCCAGTGCGTTGTGATTGACCGAATACCTCAAGCGTGTGACGGAAATGTTACGCCCCTCACCATACTGTGTTGATGCCGTGTCCCGGCCGGAGCAACGACACAAAAACATGAAAACCCATTACAAACGAGGCATTTGTTGCATCCAGTGGGGACATAAATCATGGTGCAGGACGAGGCGCGTATGAATTATTCTTACTGCTAAAACAATTCCGTCATATTATTTTTATAAGGACTGAGCAGTACAAGAACTCCACATGTCCTTGTGTTATTTTTTTAAAGGATTTCTCGTGTTAACAGAATCCAGGCAGCTTCAGAATCACTTTATGTAATGCCTTTCCATCCGCGTCAAATTGTAAGCTGTTTCTGTGTTCAGACTCTTTTTACAAATCCATGAGGGTCAACTAGTGCCCAACATCCTATAGTGGATTAGTCAATTCAACTGTTAATGTAATTTTTCTTCATATTTGATATTTTTAGTTGCAGTGCTTAAATAAGCTTTTTTTTTTGTCTAATAAGAGTGTAGCACCGTGTTTAAATACAGTTTTTACCATTTTGAAATAATTTAAATTAACTTTAAATTAAATAATAATATTATATAATAAACAGTGAAACTGAATTTTATAAAGTTATTTATTATTTTATATTATGATGTTTTTATAAAGTGTATATATGTATATTATTTACAACATTCTATACTTTATTAGTTGAAATATAATCTATTTTAAATTAAATTGTTTAAACTAATACATAACTAATATATTTTAGCCAAAAATTGTATCGATTTTTTTTTCTGTTTGTAAATTATGTATAATGTTTTTTTTTATCCTATTAATTTGTTTATTTACCTATTTTTTTAATGACCTATTTGCCAGATTTTACTAATAAATAGTTTTAAGCGCTGTTCACACGAAGAACGATAACTATAAAGATAACGATAAAGATATAGTTCTAAAAATCATTCTCAATATTAAAGAATAGCAGAGTCCACACCAGAACTATAACGATAAAGGCACAGAGAAACAATATCCTTGGAATAATTTTCAGTAGGGATGCTCCGATCGATCGGCCGGAGATCGGTATCGGCCGATAATCACATTTTATGACTCGATCGGTACTCACTAACTTGGCCGATCTCACGAACCGATCACAATTTGATGACGTCAACGCGTGACGACGTACATGATGTGTGGGGACATAAATGATTTGGCGCCACAGTCATGTCATAGCTGGTGTGGAAATGCTATGACGTTTCGAGAAACAATGAAAAATTCGCTATTTGTCTCGTATGTTTTGCATAATGATATGATAAATAGGCCTAGATGGTTCATTTTTAACAGCAGATTCAGTGACGTTAGAGCTGATCTGCGCCTCACTGCAAGCGTCTGCGACGCGTTACGGCTCCATGGGAACCGAAGCTGATCGCGGCCGATCTAGTCAGTGCTTGTGTTTATGAGCCAGCCGCGGCACGTTTCTGAAGCGGCTCTCCGCGCTGCTTGGCTAAACATAGTCTTTTGTGAGTTGTCACAGCGTAGAGGACGGAACAAAACCTCGTCGGAGCCGTAAGGGATAACGGTAACA